CCCCAAAACCCCAAAACCCCAAAACCCCTTGTGGGAATATTGTTTTTGAAACTTTTAAAATCGAAAACGGTTAAGGAGTGAGGATTGCATCGGAATTAAGCAAGTTTTTGCTTGAGGAAGAATATGAAACTTGAAACAGAGACACAAGTTATAAACACTAGAACAAAGTAACACCCTGCTCTCTTCCACATAGGCACTTGGTCCTCCACTTTTAAATAAAACACTACTGGGAGTATAAATCCAATTAGAGGATTTAGAGTTCACCCGAATATCGTAATTGCATCTCCAATTCCAGGAATCCCAACTGCTGCTCAGTAGCACCCTATACATATAGCTATGGTCATGAAAAAATTTTGAGTAGGCGTCATAGTTGAAGTGGGGTACAGGATCTTTTCACAAGCGTCTTTGGCGGGAATTGAGCAGACAGGAGCAGCAGAGAAGATGGCGAAGACTAGGCCGATAATGGCGATTTTGAAAGAGGTGTTGGGGTATGGAACCTCTAGGATATTACTCTTCTCTCTCAAAATACTAAGTTTCTCTTCATCTCCAACTAGTCCAAGGTAACCAAAAGTAGATACTGTTATATAAAGCACAACTCCGATTGTAGTCCCATATGTTACAACTTTATTCATCTTGCTGTATGATTTCTGGTTCAGTTCAGTGTAAATAATAGGCATGTTAGGCTGATACATGAAGGAGAATACTACGAAAGGTAGAGCATTTGCAACTCTGTCCCATGAGAGGATTAAGTAATCAGCTTGGGCAATAGATTTACTCATATCTGGAACAATAGTCTTATCAAAGAACATCAAAGTGATACATATTATAAGGTATAAGCTACAAAAAACTCCAAACACAGAAGTAAACTGAAGGGTTCCTATTTTCCTTGGAATTGAGAGGGGCAGAAGAACAAAGAAAGTATACATAGTAGCCCAAAAGATTTGTCCCTTATACTCTCCATTTCCTATAAACTCAGGAAGGGTTTCAAGACCAAATAAGATATCAAGTATATGAGGTATTAAGTTCTTCAAGAAAACGATATAAGATATTACAAATCCAAGAAGTGTGAGCACATTGGACCAGCCTGTGAGTAGGACCATTTTCCTTCCAAAACAATAGGCAGCAAAATCTTCGTATTTATCAGACCCAATTTTGTTGGCTCAGCTGATTAAAAGCATCCCTGTAAAGTGACATAATACAGCTCCAAAAATGATCAATAGAGCAGCTCCAAGGATCCCATTGTTCATAGCTAGATAAGGAAATGTGATTGTCCCAGATCCAAGTACAGCAGTAATAAGTGTAAAGGTAGATCCTCTAACTTCTCCTTTATTTAAAGTAATCCTTGACTGCTCTGAAGGTTCCTGATCCTAGATGTGCAGGCTTACCAACATTCGAAGAAGCGACAGGATAGCCAGAAGAATCATTTAGTCAGTTTGAACTGTTAAAGTCTTTTTCATATTCAGGTTCTGATACCAGTGACTCAAGTTCGATCATAAACATTTTGTCTTCATGTTTCCTAGATTTTGTGGCAGGACAATTTGCTCGACTTGTTCTTAAGATGTATCCTGGTTGTGTTCGAAATAATAGAGGGTATTTGGGAGAAGACATGTTAACGTATAATAATATTTCAATTTTGAATTAAGAGAAAGGGGTTTTGGGGTTTTGGGGTTTTGGGGTTTTGGGG